TTGGCACGTCCCCATTTCTGTCTCAAATATGTACAGTAACCACAGGGCTCATCCGATGGGAAGTGACACTAGCCTGCAGCGCTCTCCGGGCTCTCTCCACGGCCCACATTCATCCCGAAAAACACACCACTCTCCCGAGATTAGAGCAAAAAAGAAAACAAACAAAGAGAACATGTCCTTGAAACCTCTTGCGCGCTTTGATCAGTTTAAAGACACAGATGTTTTGGTGGAGAACGCACAACCAAATGTTTTTAGCGTAATTGCTTCGCTGCACATTGTCAGCTTTGCCCTCTCGCGTCTGAATACTTGCATTCGTACGGCTGATAAAAGTGCGTTGAAGTGGTTTCTAAATGCTTGTGATCTTGCTTAAATCACGTAGGCCTCCCGTATGCTGCTCCCCTGAACGGTTTGACAAGTACTTTGCTTTACCTTCAGTTCATTAGCAACATTAGAAGGAAAGCACAGGCGGAGAGTGTTCATTTATATGGAGCAGATTTGTGGAAATACTTATCGCAGCTCATCAGGCTTTTGAGTTCATCAGATCATTCTTGTTAGGAGAAAATTGTGATTTATAATAGAGCAGACTGGCCTGGTCTTACCACACCACTACACCATATTCATTTCATTTCCTACTAAGGTCTGGATTTGCTCCATTGACTCCGTTAACAGGTGGGAAGGGTTGACTTCTTTTGCAGATTGAAACGATTGGATCTGAGTTTGCAGTGAGTATTCTGTTCTCCATAAATAAAAACTTACTAACTTACTTACATTTCCCTGTCCATTGGAATCAAAGTCTACAACAATATTTTCATTTCAAACTGTTGGTTCAGTAATAATAACAATAATGCATTGGTTAGGGTTAGGACACAACGACAACAGACAGTGAAGTACCAACTGAGCCACTGTCGCCCTAAGTGATTTGACATACACAATTCTTTAAAAAGTCATATGTACGCAAACACCCTGTGTGCCGACTGCCACCCCCTGACCCAGACATGGATTAAGTGGAAGAAAATGGATGGATGCAAACATGTCTATGTCAAGGTCTAAATGTAACGAGGTCTGCGCAAGATAAAAAAAACCACATGTTTCCAGATATTATGAATTTGTAACAAGCAAGAAAACGACTGGGCCAGAGCCTGATCCCAAACACAGCTCACATTTCAGTAGTTTCCTAAACAGGTTCTTCTCAGCCATAGTTTCCTAAACAGGTTCTTCTCACCCATAGTTTCCTAAACAGGTTCTTCTCACCCATAGTTTCCTAAACAGGCTCTTCTCACCCATAGTTTCCTAAACAGGCTCTTCTCACCCATAGTTTCCTAAACAGGCTCTTCTCACCCATAGTTTCCTAAACAGGTTCTTCTCACCCATAGTTTCCTAAACAGGTTCTTCTCACCCATAGTTTCCTAAACAGGTTCTTCTCAGCCATAGTTTCCTAAACAGGCTCTTCTCACCCATAGTTTCCTAAACAGGCTCTTCTCAGCCATTGTTCCAGGTGCAAACGATCCTTTCTGTACGAAGCTCCACCATATCCAATGAAGACATCATCCGTCAGCGCCATGTGGCCGGGGGCTACCATTACTTGCCTTATTATCATCAGCCAAGCTCTTGGATAATTATCTCATAAGGACATCCACATCATTACATTCCATTGCAGCGAGTGTAGAAGCTCATCTGAAAGTCTGATCGGCCTTCGAGCCCTGGTGTGGTGGAGAGCCCACGATTCTGATCAGAGAAGCCTGATTATCAGTGATGTATGAATTATGGATGTGCGTTTGTCTGTTTAGGAATGAAGAACGTTAGCCCCCGACCAATTTAAAAACCATATTTAAATCCTAACATATGGCACTTGGTTTAGATTTCAAATCTAAATGTGACAATGTCAGCTACAGGTTATTGCTGCACATGTGGGAGTTGAATATGCATGAGTGTGCGCATCACTCAGACAGATGCCATCGTGACTTTCAAATGTTTATGTTGAGATCGGCCAGATATGATTAATGAGAATGAGAGGGGCAGGAGATGTGTTGTTGTTGTGTATGCAGCTGAGTTTATATACATGGCCCAGTTCTGACTTAGTAATTATTCATTTCAAATCCAGTTCAAAACAGCTAGCAATATCTAAATTCTACATTTGAAGTTGGGTTTTTCTGAACTTAAAGGTATATAAGAGGATTTTCTACTTCTGGGTGGATCATCAAGACTATTGGTCCTGCCATTTTAATATTTATATGATTGTTAGCTACTTGAGGAAGGGTTCGAATCCCGGTCAGAATGAGGTCTTTCTAAGTGGAGTTAAGTGGAGAGTCTGCGTAGGTTTCCTCCAGGTACTCCGGTTTCCCCTACCCTATCTATCCACTGTATCTACAGTTTCTTATTCATGTTTAGTTCCCTTTATTGATACCCATTTGTGCCAAGTTCAAATGGACTTGATGTTTCATGGCTTCTCATAAAGTAAACTTTTAACATTATCAACACACACACATTATAAACGACGAGCGGATATGAAGATTTTATACATGATACTGCTGTTTGTGACCATTTCCTGCTTTAATGATGTCAAGATGATGTCAAACAGCACATCTGTACTGGCTGTAATATCGGAATAGGAAGAAATTCTCCAAATGCATGATTCTTTAAAGTAAACTCATTATCAGAAGGCACACATGATTCAAACTGTCTTCATGCCTTTGTTTGGACATTTTGGGGGAAAAAAAAGAATAGAATTAACATATTCCCAGAATATTCTTCATAGTTGGTTAATAAACTTTCTGGAAATACTCAGACAAACAGACTAAAGCACATGCCTCATCAGTTTTCTTCAGCCCTTTGCCAAAAATGTATATCCCACTAAAACATCTTGATGTCTTGTTTGGAAAAGTATTAAAAATATACATTAGCAGGTACTTTTCCCTCAAAACTTCATCACTCATTTGCTATTAGTCTCCTGTGTTTTCATGACTCTCCCCAAAGCCCCCTGCTGTTGTGCTGAAAACAATCTGCTCTTATCTTGAGTGGACCAGGAAGCTCTTGATACAAGATTCAAGAATTGTGTTTCCATTTTCAGTAGCAAACCATGCAGGACTATCCCAGTGTGCACCGGCCAGAGAAGACAGCATCCACCAGAGCTCTTGCCACGAGCTCTGAGCTGATTGATTAAAACTGAAGAGTTTGGAATCTTGGGCCAATTCTGATTCTGATTAGATGTAGCCTGGTTTTACCATACCATTGCACATATTCATTTCATACTGAGGTCTGGATTTGCTCCATTGACTCCGTTAACAGGTGGGAGGGGTTAACTCCTTTTGCAGATTGAAACGATTGGATCTGAGTTTACTGTGACGCATGTAATGCGCCTGAGTGAGTGAGGCATTTAGCATTTAGCCTAGCTTTATCAATATACTGTATCAATCAACTTTTATTTGTATAGCTTTAACATTTAGCCCAGCTTTAGCCATCTCATTTGCCACTATCTGAGCCCGTGGGGAGTAGAGCCACGACATATTTGCTAAACATTCCTCTTGCTCCGGCTTCAATTTCTTGATATTTGGAGACAAACCAGAACAGATTACTGTCGCATTCGCCGCCATTGTCAAACTACAACCAGCAGATTTTGCGCAAACTTTTGATGTCACCGACACCTGCATACAACACCCGCTTGTACCGCTCGCTGATTGGTCCATTGGAAAACAACCGAGGAAACCGCAGCCACTAGGATCAGACGCGGACGTACATGTAGGAAATGATCATTGACCGGGGTTTACAAATGTTTATTATTTTTTTATTTATTCAATATGGACATAACAATAACATTGGACGAAATAGATGCATTTAAGGCCAGGCTAGATTAGAATCACTTAAATCAGAACAAGTCATAATCTCATCCAAACTCAAAATTGTTGTAGATTATGATGAGAATGAAGCTAACTCTAAATCGACCTCTTCCGTATTAAAACTGCACTAACTCACTTTGTGAAATCTTCAAATGTGAGCGCTGGCCTCGCTCGTTCTGCTCCCCCCCCACACTCACGGAGCTATCGATGGATTGAATTTTCATAATGAATACGAAAATAAAGTGAGGCAATGCAGCTTTAAGTCTAAATCAGCTCTCGGTCAGTTTGCATGTTCTCCCCATGTCTGCATAGATTTCCTGGGGATTTACTTTACCACTGAAAACACGTGCAAAAGCCCACATACCATCTAAGAAATATATTCCAAGGGAGAACTTTATTCTTTTCCTCCTCTTTCCAAGGTACAAAACAGTCCATCCTGCACCAGTTGTTAGGCATAATATCACACAGTTGTTCGTAGGAGTGAGCAGGGTTTGCCGGTGTGCCTCTCCGCTGGTGCGAAAGCTTCAGGTAAAGCCATTTGAAGCAGCGCTGTGTAATTACCGCGCCTCACGCTGCAGCAGCCCTTAACACACTTGTTTCTTGACCAAAGGCTGCGGCAATCTGTGATCACACGCACAGCTAAGAGGCCTGACCTGCTCTCTCTAAAACACACACACACCGGCAACAAAACAAAAAAACCTTTCTCATTTTTAACCTCTGAAATGGCTTTTCTTTGCCATCTTTATACATTCACACTCTGGGTTCTATTTGGGTTGTGTTTTCTTCAGAACAGCAGCGAGCAGGAGAGCGGCAGAAACTCGAACAAGGCATTACGACTTTTCCAAAACATTTGCATAATTGTGCACATCTCACGCCGTGTAAGTAAACAGAGCCAGCGTGGATGATCACTCCCTATCTCCAAACTGCTCGGTGAAGATAAGAGATTACACTCAGATATGCAGTCATCTCACTGTCTATAGGCCATGGACAATCCAATCTGGGAAGACTTGAAGAATGCGTAAGAATATGTATTGTCGAGATGCATGAATAAACAGCAGCAGACTTTGAGTACTAATATATTTTTTGTTAAAATTGGCGATTAGACTCCGGCGGGAATACTGTGTGACGTATGCAGAAGGGATTGAGCCGAAGACATGACGTGATACTCTACTGGAGAGGTGGTGATGGGGAGGAGTCAGTGCAGAGGGGGGAGTCAGTGCAGAGGGAGGCGTCAGTGCAGAGGGGGGAGTCAGTGTAGAGGGAGGAGTCAGTGTAGAGGGAGGAGTCAGTGCAGAGGGGGGAGTCAGTGCAGAGGGAGGCGTCAGTGTAGAGGGAGGAGTCAGTGCAGAGGGAGGAGTCAGTGTAGAGGGAGGAGTCAGTGCAGAGGGGGGAGTCAGTGCAGAGGGAGGCGTCAGTGTAGAGGGAGGAGTCAGTGCAGAGGGAGGAGTCAGTGCAGAGGGAGGAGTCAGTGCAGAGGGAGGAGTCAGTGCAGAGGGAGGCGTCAGTGTAGAGGGAGGAGTCAGTGCAGAGGGAGGAGTCAGTGAAGAGGGAGGAGTCAGCGCAGACTGGGCGGCACGGTGGCTGAGTGGATAGCACTCTTGCCTCTCAGCAAGAAGGTCCTTGGTTCGAATCCCGGCCGGACAAGGGCCTTTCTGAGTGGAGTTTGCATGTTCTCCCCGTGTCTGTGTAGGTTTCCTCCGGGTACTCCGGTTTCCCCTACCACTAAAAATATGTACAATAGGTCTGGCATGCGCCTCCTGTTCGGCGACCCCGCTCCCATCTCTGTGTGGAGTGAGAGGACAAGTGCCCAAAAATAACAATTGTAAACCGCTTTGTGACTCTGGTCTGTGAAAGGCGGTATATAAATAAAAGCTTACTTACTTACTTACTTAGAGGGAGGAGTCAGTGAAGAGGGAGGAGTCAGCGCAGAGGGAGGAGTCAGCGCAGAGGGAGGAGTCAGTGTGGCAGCATGACGTCTCTTGTCTTCCAGTCTGAATTTTACTCTTAAGCTTCACCTCTTTCTTTTTGTGGAAGGAGCTGCTGTCCTGTGAATAGGCCACTCGCCGTGTCGTAAGATCCCATTCAGGGCCAAACGTAATCATACGACAAGTTTATAGTTGGTTGTTAATCTGAGGCAGTTTATTGACACATGAGACGAGGCCTATAAACACGCTCGGCACAAATGGATTATTTATAGAAGTGTAAGGCAAATAATGGCATTGTTGTTATCAGTGACTATAAATATGAAATAGTGACTCGAGTTTGTGAGCTTAGGAGGTTCATGCCAACACAATATATTTGTATTATCCTGCATTTTTAGATGTGGATCCAGATTAGAGATCCATCTCAGGTGCATATTTGAACTGTTTATGTGTAAGATCTATTACAGGGGGTGGTCAGAGGGTCCAGCAGACCATTTTTCGTGGCCCTCAGGTGGTTTTGAATTATTGTTGTAAAATAATAGTCCCAATCATTCATGTTATGAGGTTGTGCGCTTCCCTGACATGTCATTTTATAGATCATTTTGGCCTTTATGTCCTTAAAATCAATGAACGCAAAACACAAGGAATAACAGTTGAAGCCCTATTCTGTGTAGCGCTTATAAAATTGATTATTGTAGATTTTTTTTTTTTTATGGAAACAATTACATTTAAAACTATTGCTATATGCAGTAGTTTTCCAAAAGTGTTTGTGAGTTTTAATAATCTAAAACAGACATCTAAGCTGGCATCCATATTTTCTCTTTGCCCATGATCACGTCGCTGTTGTGATATGACGGTACCATTAATAACCTATCACTACATCACTGATAAATGATTCCGCAGTTGAATAAAACATTTTTGCCAACACCATGCACTTTCATTAGCAGTGCGCGAACTCCCATCTCCATAATGCGTTCTGTAGCACGGTGCACTTTAACAGGCCCAAACCTCATTAAATGCTCTGATTGTCTTTTACCCAATAATGACCTTTCAGGTGCTTTTCTGCTTAAGCTGTGGCTGCCAGAAAGAGTTCAGAGCGGAGCACCCAGGCCAGGCAGTATGGGTTAAGTCACTCCTCAGAAGGTCCCCTGGCCTTTTACAGGGTAGGATTTATTAAAACAGCCAGCTTCTGACAATTCAATAGAAAATCCAGCGCGCCCTGTGTTTTTCCTGAAGCTGCAGTGACGCCTTTACAGCAAATTGAGGTGGAGGTGAAAGAGAGTGGGGTAGATGACTGGCAGCTCCGCAAAAATGAGTGATGGTAAAAAAAATGAAAAATCTTGCTTTTAATACCAGCAACATGGTGGAAAGGGCTTCCCGTGTGAGACAGGATCAAGTTTCTGCTTTACACAAACCACAGCACAGATTATCACACTTTCAGCTTAAACCTTTCGGCTCCAGTTTTGTTAGAAATGTGAAACAAGCAAAAGGTGGAAGCCTTTAACTTAATGTCACGTGGTCAAAACCTATGGACTGGAAATGCTCCCAGAGGTTCTGCTTTTCCTCGGACTTTGTCTTTCTCCTCTCTCTTAGATTCGTTATGTTGCGCTTGTTGACTGTTAAAACAATTGCTGAAATATTGAATTGTTAAAGCATTTTCTTATTGTTGAAATTAGAAATAAGATATGTTTCAGTCGTATTAGTTTATGAATTCCCAGTAATAAAACAATGCAGTGCTCGCACCGGTATTCAGTATCGACAAGAACTTAAACCAAGGCACTCATATAAGGTTTAGAAAAAAGTTATATTGATGCATCCCTAGAAATATTGTTTTTTTTTCTTATTATTTGTTACTTCGAAAATGTTTTGACTTCCAAAAACATGATGTAACCCGTGTCATAAAATAATACGTAAGCTAAGTAGAACCAACGAGAAGCTACAAAAGCTCGGAATATTGTTATAACACAGTAAGTAATATGTAATAAACGTGTAATAAAGTAATAGAATTTTAATAGTAATGTAATCAGAAGTCTAGATTTGGCTCAAGGAGGGAGTGGCAGGAGACTGAATAAGTTTAGTTGGTACCATGTATTAACAAAAGACAAAATGACAAACAAAACAGTGACACAAACATGAACCCAAACAGTGAACGGCCATTCAACGCTAACACGTGTTTCAAATCAATCCTTCAGCACTGCACAAGTACAATGTATAGAAACGGTTTTCACAGTATTCACATTCAAAAGCAACCAGGGACAGAATTCAGCAAAACAGTTTCTCAGCCCGCGGCACAGTTCATTGATAACCCACTCTGGGTCTGACCAGCCGACCAGAGGGAGGCGGTGCACAAGAGTGTGTGAGATATGGGTGAGTGGGTGGCAAAAGTTTTGTGCAAAGTGGGGAGAGAGTTTGTGGGCTGCAAGGAGCCCCCTACCGGCCAGCAGGGGAGATGCGAACATGTGACTCCAGATCCAGTGGGCTCTGTGGGCTCTAGGCCTGGTCCTTCAGCTCAACATCAGGGTCAAAACCTGGCCTGTAGAACAGGACCAAAGCTCAAATCAAATACAAAGCTAACTGAATAGTTAAGCTCCAGTGTGCACACGATTCTACAATGTATAGTATGAGTTGTACTATAATTCATCATTCAGTAGAATTATCAAAGAGTAAAATCCATATCAGAATTAATATAGAAATATTTACAGTGTATATAAACATAATGTACTAGCTGTGGTCATTAAACAGTTCTGGATTAAACAGATTGAATCAAACATTCAATGAACATTCAATAAGTTCAATAAACAGTCAATAAGTTAAACAATGAATGCAATTAAAACATTAAATAACATTCATATGTAAAAGGCAAAACATGAATAGACAGAACAGGCATGAAGGCTGCTTGCATAAAGCACATGTTAACCACTCCACTAACACCAAATGGATGTGGCCAGACATGGCTCTGCTAAAGTGTGAAATAAGCTACACTCACCAATCCCTTGTGTTCCTCCTCACAAGCGAGCTGATCACTACTGTTAGGCAAATAGAAGGCTCCTACATCAGGCAAGTTTGTACAATAAACATCAAGCAAAACACAAAGGCATCAAACAGTAAAGTGAGCACACTACACAGCTGCAGCCACTCCCTACACAGCTGCAGCCACAGCACTTCCTGAACCTGCTCTCCTCTAACCAATAAAACCATGCATTGGCAAGAAGGGATCTGATTGGCTAATGGGTGGAGCAAGCAGTAGGCCAAGCAGTGGTTCATTTAAAATGACACTAGCAGGAATTGTCACCTGGGTTACAATGAGAGGTTTTTTTCTGTTTCCTGCCTTACCTTCAATTCCATTCCTCACAGCGATGAATCATTAGTAACACCTTAAGAAGTCCAAGTATGTCGTTGTTTTGTTCATGGGTGAGAGTGACAGATGTATCAAAAGATCTCATTTTACCGATCGTTGGTCCCACCCTCTCCCACGGTTGAACCAATGGGTAGAGACCGACCGGACAACCTTCAGATCGTACTTGCCGATTCAAAATGAGATTACTCTGTGACTCTGAGCTCCACTTGTGAATAAGTAAGTGTAAGTGAGTAATCATTATTTATACAGCACCTTTCACAGACCAGAGTCACAAAGCACTTCTACAATTGTTGTTTTTTTAGGCATTTTGTCTCTCACTGTACTCAGAGATGTAAGCGATGGACACGATGGAGGCTCTGCTGACCGTGTGGGTTCGGATGCTACCAGAAAGACCAGAAAGACCAGAAAGACCAGAAAGACCAGAGAGACCAGAAAGACCAGAAAGACCAGAAAGTCCTGAAAGACCTGAAAGTCCTGAAAACCTTTTTTCTCTCAATGACGCCAACCAGTCATGCTCCCAAAGATGAAGTTCTACTTTTCCTTGGACTTTCTCTTTCTTTTCTCTTTTAAATTCTTTATGTTGTGTTTGTTGACTCAGTGTCTGGTCAATTGATTTCTTTGAACATTTGTTATTTTGTTTTTTTATTCCTCATTATTTGTTACTTTGAACATTATTTGACTGCCTTACCATCAATTCCATTCCTTACAGCAATGAATCATTAGTAACACCTCCAAAAGTTCAAGTATGACAAGGGTTTGTTCACGGGTGACGGAGCGTAAGAGTGACACCCTCACCTACGGTCATGACCAATGGGAAGAGAGCGCCCGGACAAGCTTGCAGATTCTACTTGATGTGAGTTTGGGAGCCACCTGAAAGACCTGGAAGACTTCTTTGTTCACCAATACACGATTTTCTCATCGCTGAAGTCAAAGGCCATGGAAATGCAAGCGATGTTGGAAGCAGATTGAGAAGTCTGTGTCCGCCTGTGCCCTTTCACCAGCATCACCGGCCTTCTCATGGTATTTACATTTGAGTCCAGTTTTCATTAGCTTTTGTGGCAGCAGCTTCTCCCTGTGCCAGGCAGCAGCATGTGACATTCAGATGGGCTCAGGGAAAGGACATTGCTGTGGACTGTCTGTGTGGAATTGTGTCTGGATTCAACATTTTTAAAAAGCCATTTGAGCCACCACGCTTTGGCATAATCCTCATAAGCTCCAGAGTTATTCACAGAATCATAACTGAGTGAGCCTAAAGCTTTGCTAAACAATGAGGCGTGCACAAGCGTGGTAACAAATGCCAATAGGAGCACTCCGCTGGACGGGCTACTTTCATTTTAGGGAAGCAAAACAACACCGTCTTTCATTTTTATGGCGTGCAACTCGCAAATGTGCCAAATGAAAGCCAGTATAGTTCAAAATGATGTTCAGTGACTCCTTCCTCGACTGGTTGACAACACCTCTCTTTGTGCGTGCACTGGAAAAAATAGCTTCCAAAAAAATATGAAAATAAGTAAAATACTGCGTAAAATAAGAACAAATTATCTGCCAAGGAACAAGGAAATATGACTTGACAAGATTTCTGAAAAATAAGAAAATGGTACCGGCCCCAAATTACTTGATTCTAGGTTAAAAACATACATTATTTACTTATTTCTTAAACAATTTTGAGATTTTTTTTCTTAAAATATAGCATCACACACGTATTTTATCTAAACAAGGAAAGTTGTCTGGAAAAAAGAAAAAAAAATACTTATAACAAGCTTAAACAGTCACTGCTCGGACTAGATTATAAAGTATTATCATCTTAAAACTAGTAAAATAA